ATCTCAATTAATTGGGTTGCAAAGGTTGTACAAATGCACAAGGTTGTAAAAGAAATATACCCTATATATATATATATATATAGGGTTGGGTTCACGTGAGACCCGTAAGACCAATTTATGTTCATTGATCAACTTTATAAGCTAATGATCTAATAGTTTAAACTTGCACGGTGATAATTTTGTGATTATTGAAAAGTCTCGTGACAATTTTGTGATTATGAATTTTTAGATTGTAGATCTAATCCAAGGGTTTAGAATTGGTCTTACGGGTCTCACGAAAAACCCTTGGTCTCACATGATCTCAAGTCTATATATGTATATATATATATATGTGTGTGTGTGTGTGTGTGTGTGTGTGTGTAAAGTATATATCGTGTGAGAAAAAAAGTTATCGTGAAAAGGGTAACAAGAGATCTGACCTAATCTCATGGCTACCAATGAATTGCGCTTTAGGAAGAGAATTGATTTGGTTCATCTCGTGCCCCTGATTAGTGTTGACATTCAATTAGAATTGATCAAAAGATGGAGATCTCTTCTTACGTTTTTCACCATAACTTCTTTTCTCATCGTAATCCAACCTTTATATGTAGTCTCATGTTTTACAAACCCTCTAATTTTAAAAACCAATCTCAACCATCTATTTAGACTAATAAATAAATGGTTCCACAAAAATCTCGACTGTTTCTTACTTAAAAAATTGATCATAATTAATGAACTCTGATTATCTTTTATAAATTTTTTTTGATTAACTTGGATATCCAACCCGCTATGCGAACCAACTAATCCCAGGATGACCACCTGCTTTGCAAATAGCCGGAAGTCACCGCATTTGAACTTACGTGGCCACTTAGTCCTCCTTGGATTTGAACCCGACTGTCCCTGGGGGAGGGCGGGCCGGGCGTACGCCCAGGGCCCATAAAAATTAGGGGTCCAAATTTTTATAATATATATAATAGTAGTTCAAAAAAATTAGTAAATATAAGACACATAAAAAAATTAGTATCTAATATGACAAGAAATTTTTTTGGTACTACATTAACTATTAAAAACCCAAACAAGTATGGATTAAATATATTGGAGAAAAAAATACATAAAGAGGTTAATCTGTCAAGAGGTTTATCTGTCAAGAGGTTTATCTGTCGTTCATTATATAATATTATTTAATGTTTTTCTAAGTTTTTTTTTTTTATCTAAATCCGACGTCTAAAACTCTTTGTTTCAAAAACTTTGATAAATTCTCCATAATTTATCTCCCATCGACTCTTTTGATTGTTCCATTCTCGTGTGAATTCTATTTTTATATTAGAATTATGATAGATTTTCTTGTTATTAGTTAACAAAACCCTAATATTTTGAAAAAATTACCAACTATATAAGACGGTACAACTTATATCTATATTTAGAATAATAAAACTATAATTGTTTTTTCATAGTTATTCTTTATAATATAATATTGAATGTATAAATTGTATGTAATATTCTATCTCTAAAAGAATAATAAAATCTTAAACTATCACCAACATGAGTTTTTTAATTTATATAATCGATGATTACAGAAAAGTTTGTTTTAACCTTAACCCTATGTTCTTGAATCTTCTTTTACGTAAGAAAGAGATGAAAGTAAATAGGGGATGAAAAATATTATGTTCTCGAGATTTTTTAAGGAAAAGGAAAAAAATTATATCAAATTTTATTTTTACTTCATTATTTTTCCTTCCGCTCTCTTCTCTATTAAAAATACAAATAAAAAACTTTATTTTTCTTTCTTTCTTTCTTTTATTTTTCTTTCCCTTTCTGATTTTTTTTTCTTTCCTTCCCAAATTCGAAACCATAATATAAAAGTTTAAAATTGTGTTAATCTTTTCAAATTCGAAAACATAATATAAAAGTTTAAAATGATGCTAAAAAATTTAACATGAGGACATGGAAAACCAACCTATTTACTTTGATTTACGTAGTATCACTCGGAAATCAGAAGAATTGACTTTGTGATCTCAAATGATGTCATTTTCTGTACCAAAAGTATATCATAGAATGTTTTTGATGATGGACAAATTACCGATACTACATAAAAATATTCTAGTAGATAATATTATATTAGAAACCAGTACTTATTGATTTTGCGGCAGGAATACTCGGAAAAACGGTTTTATATGAATTCAATGTTATTTATGATGATAAAAACAATATATTAAAAAAAATATCGTACTTATCGAGGGCCCCTTTTTATATCTCGCCAGGGCCTAAAAAATGTCAAGAACGGGCCTAAACCAGGGACCACCTAGTTTTTTTGACATTTGAGCCAAACTCAAACCAATCAGGCACCACCCTTGTGGTTTATAAATATTCCGATCATAATAAATAAACCTTCATCATTCTTCATAAATATCTCAATTGCTTGGTTTGTATTATTTGTAATAATTAGAGGGTTTGCAAATATTTTGGACTCTCTCTCTCTCTCTCTCTCTCTATATATATATATATATATATATATATAAGACGTTTCTTGTTTTCCGAATATGATAGCTCCAATAATGGAACGGGCTGAAAAATTCAACCACGAGTACATGTGTTTTGCACAAAAAATAAAAACTCATGGGGGGCTTGTCAACAACGTGTATGAACCTCAATATTGTAGACAGAATAGTCTTTCCAGCTTAGAAGAAAACTGGTAATTATTTTCATTTTGATTAAGCAACTTCTTTAAGTTGAATTTGAATAAGTAAATGCGTAACTGAAATACTGTAGGAAAATGGTCGAGGTGGAGAGGAATCATTTGAAGTTAAAGGAGTCATTGTTAGTGTTCAACCTCGAGAAGTTCAGAACTACTGTTTTGGGACAAATGGATCCGCCTTTTGTTACCCATCCCAATCGGCTTATTAGTCCCCACGACAACAAGAATCGTCAAGTATGCATCTCATATCTCGTTCTCAAAGGAAATAAACCGAACCTATTAAGATATTTGGCAGTCTCTCACTGTTAACATCAGTGTAACTTAAACACATCACGTTTTAGGTTCAATAATGATAAGTAAGACTCTATCACATGCGTCTTCTTCTATATCTATAGATGAAACTTGAACACGTGCCCTCGTAGATGAGAGAAAAATGGGCACTTTTGTGTTCTTTCCAAAAGTAGAAAGTACAGTAGATGTCGTTCTAACATATATCTGAGTTGGGATTTTCAGGGAGAAAACAACTATTATGAGATGAAAGAGAGTGAACAGAAGGAAGATCATCATACTGACGTAGTATTTTTTGAAGTACCCAACAACGATGTCAGTAATAAGGCCATGTATAGAGACTTTTTAAACGATGGTTTCAACACAAACCATAATGTATGATCTCCATTTCTTTGATATCTTATCATATAACATAATTGTCCGAGTTAAATCATAACATGTTATATTGATCAATATAGGGAGGTGATGATACTGAGAACGTTGAAGAGACAGGTGTTGCTTCTTCGTCTTCTTCAATCACTGTAAATGTAGAGTTGACTTTGGGAGGCCCATACACATTCTTGAATACCTTCTTGTGCTAGTGCTGCCAATGTCTCGTTTTAAAGCGGTTTTGTATGAACTTACTGATAGATTTCCTTCAAATCCCAGTAAACAATAATGCGTAGCTTAGGTTCGATAATGCTTGAGGGGTTGTCTTTCTTTTTGTTCGTGAGTGTCAGATCTCTGTAATAACTAGACTAACTAGTTTTTTATATTATTGAACGAAACCTGTGTCTGCAAAGTAAAGTACAGAAATCTCGGTATGTACCAATTATTTTGTTTGGATAACATGGTCAGTATGTTTCAGCCATCAAAAGAAAACATAATTACATAACCGCGGCAAAAACATTATCGACTAAAGCATAGTTAGGCATTGGAAGGAAACATAAACAAGGACCAAATTGATATTAATAAATAAAAATAGGGCCAAATAAGTAACAACTAAACTATTGTGACCAAAATGGGAAAATTAAAACTTTAGGGGTCAAATTTGCACTAGGGAAGAAATTATAAGTAAGTAGGAGAGGGGGGAAAAACAAACCAAAACCGCCGTCGTCGATAACCTAACAAGCGGAACCCCTCACCGCCGCCCGCCGCCCGCCGCCGTCTATTCGCATTTTCCGACACTGTAATCATGGCGGACGTTGTACAATACAAGCTGGAGCGAATGGTCAACGAGCTCGACGACCTTGAACGTCGTGGTTTGTTCTCCCGCCGTGAAATTGCCGAGATCGTAAAACAACGCCGGAAGTTCGAGTACAGGCTTAAACGTCCAAGTCCTCTGAAGCAGGATTACTTAGCGTACATCGACTACGAGAAGTCTGTCGATGCGCTCCGAGTACTCCGTAAGAAAGCGGTGATGCGTGAACTGAAGAAGAAGAGCGAAGACGTGAAAGGAGTTGTGAAGAAACCGAAAATGAAGCATTCTGTATCTGATTTTTCTGGAATTTCGAGGATTGTTGAGATTTATCGGTCGGCCACGAATAGGTTTAAGGGAGATATTCAGCTATGGTTTCAGTATCTTGAGTTTTGTAGGCAAAGGAGGAATGGACATATGAAGAAGGTATGAAGTTTTCAATTCTGGTTGTATACATTTTGCTTAATCTAATCGTTTAAATCATTACTTTGTGTTTCTGCTTGCGTTCATTGTTGATAACTGGGTTATACTGCCTGAAATGAGATGAATTTATGCCTTTTAGGTTCTAAATATTTAGGGATGGAGAGACTTGGATATTTAAGATTTGTTTGATCAGTGTTTTAGGGGCTGTTTGGTTGGTTTTCCATTAAGTCTGTGTATGGATACAGTCGTCTGTGTGGATTAATGTCTCAATAGATTGGAAGGTTTTTACAAATGGAAGGAGTGTGTTTTTGTAAATGGAAGGAGTGTGTTTTTAAGTGGGAGGGAAGGGTTTGGAAAAAACTTGCCTTTCTGCATAAAGCTCCTCTTAAAAGCTTATTGAATAAGCCACTTTCTATATCATTAAGTCACTACCAAACAGTCATGTATAGCTGACCAAATAATCGTGAGTCCCATTACGCTCATTAAGCTGCTAACAAAACAGGCCCTTAGTCTTTTAGGGAACGGGAATCACATGGGGAACCATCTATTTGTGTTTTATTCACGATTCATGATATCATAAGCACAAAATGTGTCAAAATGCATCGAAGTATGTGTTAATTTCTGTTTAGAGTAACAATTTTTTCCCTCAATCAATGTAACAAAGTTTCAAGTTTCCTATTTAATATAGCATTTGATGATGTGGATGCCAAATTTATCGTCCACTTTGCTGGAGCTATTCCATGAACATGTTGTAAACCTTTTGTAAATGGGTATCCATGTCATCAAATGTTAAAATGATCAGGTGGGCAACGGTCAAAATGGGTACAAATAAGAAAATTTGTAACTTTGTTACATCGATTAAGAAAAATAATTCTTCGTTACAGTAAGTAGGAATGAAACTAAACTTTGTTGCATTTTGATGCATTTTACCCATACCAAAATGCATGATGGATAATACATGAAGTATTTGGTTATGAGGTTCTTAAAATATTCCTGGTTCTCATTTGAACTTTCATCTAGTCTTTTAGGTTCTAAATGTTTTCCCCCTATGTGTGCATCTTTCAGGTTCTGGCTCAGGTGATTAGATTTCATCCGAAAGTACCCGGAGTTTGGATATATGCTGCGTCATGGGAATTTGACCAGAACTTAAATGTTGCAGCAGCTCGTGCACTTATGCAAAGTGGTTTGAGATCTTGCCCATCTTCCGAAGCTCTATGGGTGGAATATCTCCGAATGGAACTCACATACCTAAATAAGTTAAGTGCTCGCAGGGTTGCTCTTGGAGAAGATGTGGGAACATTGGTTCCAGATCATCATGATCCTGAAGATAAACAATGGCGGGAGGAAAACAAAGAATTATTTATGCCGATTGATGGAGAAACCGGAGATTATAAAGATTTAGATGAACAAAATAAGGAATTGACACAGAAAATTGATTTCTTTCGGGAACAAGGTTTGAACATTCTTCAAACTGTTTATAAATGTGCGGTGGAAGCACTTCCGTCCAGTTTCAGTCTGAGAACACAGTTTTTGGAGATTCTAGAGGCAACAAATTTGGCAAATTCAGAAAATATGCAAAAGGAGATACTTTCTGACATGAAAAATGAATTTTCTAAAGAAACGGGATTCTGGGATTGGCTTGCGAAATATGAAGCAGCAGGTCGTAAGAGTACACAAGATGTAAAGAAAGAAATTATGCCTGATCAATTATTCAATGCAATTCAGGTATGCTAACTTTCGTTCCCTTTTGAACATCCACATGTTTGCTTTAGGAAATTTATTGCAAAGTTAAGCCAAATACTGGAAGTAAAATTTTTACTCGGGTGCCATTTGTTTTTTAGAAAATACCTCTTATTCAGCACTTATGTCTTACCGAACAAGACTGTTTTTTGCAATAAGAGCTTAAAACCTATTACCGTCTGCTTATTGGACTGCCGATGTTTGTTTAATAAAAAACTCAAATATGCTGCACTATGGGTTGAACTCGTGACCTCTCACAATTTATTTATTGTTTTCAGATTTTATGTTATTGTTTTCAGATGAAGATTTCTTGATGATTATATGTATATATATATACATATATACATATATATATATATGTATGTATGTATGTATGTATGTATGTATATGAATAAAAATGGAATATTTTTTAATGTAGATTCAACATTATAATATTTTGAGGGGTAAAATAGACAGTTACATACATTAAGACATTTGTCAGTTTGTAAAAACAGTCTTATTGATTATGCTTTCAGACTTCAGCATCATCTCTTATCAAATAAAGTGAAATAAGACTTTGGAGTTCAACACCTCATTTAAAAAACAATATGGCAATATCCTCTATTTCTCTATATCTCTTGTGTGTTGGTAATGTTAAGTTTCGAGCTAAAAGGCACATATTCTTTTTTGTGTAGGTTTATGATGAGGCTTTGAAGATTGTACCATCGTCTTCAATGTTTGATCTATATATCAAATTCTTGAGGGACACAATTGATCGAAATAGACACACTCAAAATTCTAAGCTTTCTGATTCATCTGACAATTACATAGATCCTGTTTCACATGTTTTAATGGTCTATGAAAAGGCTCAAAAGATGGGGTGCATTACTGAAGATCTTGGCTGCCAACACGTATCCTTTTTGTTAGAACTTGGGAGATTAGACGATGCTAGAAATTTGGCAGAAAAGCTCTGCAGTGGAGAACTCTCGGAGGCAGTACGATTATGGTTTTTACGCCTTTCGATAGAGATTAAACGTATTGGAACTCCAAGCAAAGCCGATTTGTCGTTTGTGTTTGATCTCTTGCAAACTCCTCTCAGGAAAGTTGTTGTTTCACAAGCTGAGAGCCTATGGCTTATGGTATGTGATGTGAAATTTGTATGTTCTATATTAGTTTGTCCCAAAATAAGTGTCTACTTTCAAAACTATGTACTTTCCACTTCTACCTATAATCTATTAGATGGAAAAGTTCATTACTTCCTCTATTATTAAGGGTGAAATTGTTGTTTAGTTAATTAAAAAATGTAGTAATTCACATTTCTAAAACTCTGTGCCTTTTTCATTGTGAACATTTATTTTGGGATGGATGGGGTATTTTATTTTTAAATGACTGCAAGTACGAAGCTTAAGATGCTAAATGACAATTTTACCCTTAATAATAGTGGGAGTAATGTATTTTTTCAAGAGTGTGTACTTTCCACTTCTAACTCTACTTATTAGATGGAAAAGTTCATTATTTCCTCTATTATTAAGGGTAAAATTGTCCTTTAGTTAATTAAAAAGTCTAATAATTCACATTTCTAAAACTGTCTTTTGTTATTTGTTGTGCAGGGCTTGAAATATTTCTCGAATCATAAGCATTATCTTGACAAGCTGATGGATATTTCTCTAAGTTCATTGATTAGAGATGGTGGCAGTGATGACGGTTTCTCCCTCTCGTCTGCAATTGTGAACTTTGTTCTTCAAAGAAATGGAATTCAGAGTGCGAGAGACATGTACAAAAGGTATATCACTAAACCATCAACTATCAAGGATCATTGTAATGTGTTCTCTCGAAAATATATCCTAGGGCCTGTTTGTTAGCAGCTTAATGAGACTCGCAGCTTATTCAGTGAGCTATACATGACTGGTTTTTAGTGGCTTAATGATATAGAAAGTGGCTTATTCAGTAAACTTCTAGGGGGGAGCTTTATGTAGAACTCCAAGTTTTTTCCAAACACCCCCTCCCAATTAGAAAACATGCTCCTTCCATCTATGAAAACCCTCACAAACAAAAATCTTCCTAATCTATACAGACAAATTAATCCACACAGACATCTTTATCCATACAAGCTTAATGAAAAACCAACCAAACAGCCCCTTACTAGGTCAGTGATTAGTGCTGACCCGGACCACATTCTTAGCTGGTCAGCGGTTACCCAATTTGTATTGGTGAACGGTCCCTTAGGCTCACATCTAATACAATCTTTGTTATTTACTATGAAGTGCCAATCTTCCAATCTTTTCGGTATGCAGGTTTCTTGCTTTACCTCGGCCTGGACTTGCTTTTTATAAAAACTGCATTGAAATGGAATTGAACCTTGCATCATCTGCTGGTGCTAAGACTCATCTTGTAGAAGCCCGTAAATTATATGAAGCTGCACTTTCGACATACGACCAAGATGCGAGTCTGTGGCAAGATTATCACTCCATGGAGTCCAAGGTAAATTTTGAATTCGTTAGGATCAACGATCACACACAATCATAAATTGCCGATGAATATTTGAAAACACGAATTTTGCATGGCTTAGCAATTTGCTTACATTATATGGTCATTGTTAGGATTTTCTTCCTCATGAATTTTGGTAGCATGTTAGTCTCTCCGTCCCAAAATAAATGTCCACAATGAAAAAGACTGTTTAAGGAATGTGTAATTATTACACTTTTAATTAACTAAATGACAATTTTACCCTTGATAGTAGAGGAGTAATGAATTTCTCCATCTCATAATTAAGGGCAGTATTGGAAAGTAGACATTATTTTTGAAAATGGACACTTATTTTGGACTAGAAATAGAAACATTAGACACTTATTTTGGGATGGTGGGAGTACGAAAACCGAAAGCCGATTCCTTTTATAAAAGGATCTACAAGATGGATAAGAAACAAGGATGAGTTCAAGAGAGAACACTAAAAAAGGGAGAACAAGGGAACACATCAGAACCATCGATCTCTTTTAATCCAACGGTAGCGAATGGGTGTGCCAAACTAAACACATGATTTTCGGTTATGTTACATTCGAATATGGACCATCTATTTTTAAGATTCAACTGTCGTTAGGGGTTCCCTTGCTGTCCCTTTTTTTGGGGTTTTCTCGTGTAACCATTTGCTTGTGGAAGTTCTACAACCGAAATCAAACACCATATCCTACAAAAAACTCTTGATTGGGTGTCACACGTCCGTATTTCTGCAGTATGATGGTGAGGTAGAACGTGATTTAATGGACGGTTAATCGTGGTTTTTGTGTGCAGATGGGGACGTCAGAAACCGCCGCTGCTGTTCATTGGCGTGCACGAAAAACGCTTAAAGGCAACACTGTATTAGTAAGTTAAAAGAAATTATGGATGAGAGGTTTGCATTTGTGAATCACTCACAATTTTGACTTGTAGGGTTTTTGCAACCTTTGAGAATTGTTACAATTGTTTTATTGAGAGGCTTGATAAATCCCATAGATCCTGTTTGAGATAGATGTCAGATCTGCATACATCTTATGACACCCCCACTTCCTACTTATGAGTGAGATTTACTGGGTGTCTTTAGTTTGATAAATGTAATTGGATTAATCAAAGAATATTAGTCTTATTTTCACAGTATTGTGTAAAACACTCCAAATTGTTGTGGAAAATGGCTCATTTGGTCGTATTTGGGGCTTTTACGTTTAAAACTTGGAAAATGGCTCATACGATTGGTGATCGAGGGTCCGAAGATCCATGATTCAAATTTGTCGTTGTTGATTGTGGGGCTGTTTGATAAAACTTGTGATTAAGCTTCGATAGGGTTTCAGGTTTTGATTGGATAAAAACATCTGGTTGGATAAACGACTCTGTATAATGTCATCTATTAACTGTTTTGAATCAAAACAGACGATCTGAATGGTAGAAAGTTACCATTCTATCAATGTATTAATTAAAGTTAAAGATTTCAGTCTATTTATCAAAACGAATAATATTCACAAAAAACGTGCATCATTCACAAAAAATCTCAATAAAGTAAGCTTAATGAAAAAGCTTGGTCTTGTCAATACAATCTGAAAAGAGCTTAATTTGCAATGGCAAGTGGTATGAGAAACATGTGTGAAAACGCAGTGTTCATGTAGTGTTGTCTCGGGGTATAAAAACCGCATTTTCATAGTTGTACATAAAAACTGATTTGTAAGTTCGTACAACTTTTTGGGTTCGTAAATGATTAGAGAGGGGGGTTGGGATCACGTGAGAAAATATATTTTATGTGAGAAGTGATGAATGTACCTCTATACTGTGTGAAGGTTATAGACTTCACCGGTTTCTGTGAAGACGGTCACCTCCACATGTCTTCACACAGTATAAAAATATATCATATAAATGTGACATTATCTTATGTCAATGTTACATTTTTCACATTACTCCCTAAAAATAACATGTTAATGGGAACCCAACCCCCCTCTCTCTATACATACACATAAGAAAAAGATCGATCACTTCATTATTTTTTTTTTTTATTAACATGTATATCTAATTCATTATGCGAGTCGACTAATCACATGACGACCACCTGTTTTTCAAGTAGCCCGAAGTCACTGCATTTGAATCTCCATGGCCACAAGAGAATTTTTATTCCTCATTGGATTTGAACCTGAGACCTCCAGACACATTTGACCTTTGGAGCCCAAGCTCAAACCAATCAGACACTACCCTTTCATTCACTTTATTATCTTTAATTTAACATCTATATTTATACAAAATATATTTTACGAAATAAATTGGAATTTATATATATATATATATATATATATATATATATATATATGGGGAAGCAATCAAATGCAAACCACCCATATTTATACAAACCGTGTAAACCATCCTCATCCGTCGATTTCATTGTCTAATCTTATGAAATTTTTTCATATAATACTTTTTTTGGATGAAGTTGTTTCATATATAGTTATGAAATTGTTTCATATAATATTTATGAAATTTTAGTAAAACTGTTTCATGTATTTCTCTAAAATTAATATAATAAAGATGATAATATACCCATGATTAACACTCTTCATAATAAAAATGATTAATAACCTATCATAATTACCAAAAAATGAACAAAATAAAAAATTATGATCAATTGAATAAAATTTATATGGTTTATACAAACAACATGATTTATAAAGTAAACATTCTTTTTATATAGGAAAAATTGCACCAAAATGGAACCAACTTTCACCTAATTCCTATTTTGGGGAACCAACTTGCAAAATAATTATAGAAAAATAATTAAAACTCGTTTTTTTTCAAAAATTAATGCAATAAAATTGATTTTTCATTTCAAATCTCGTTTTTTTTAATTCAGATATCAAATTGAACATTTAAAAAAAAAATCCAAATTACCATAGTAAAAATTGTTTTTTACTAATAAAAAAATCAATTTAATAGAAAAAAATTAATTGATGCAATTGGTTAGATATAAAATTTTTGAATGTGATATTTAATATTTATTTTTTATTGTATCAATTAATTTTTTTCTATTAAATTGATTTTATTTACATTAGTAAAAAACAATTTTTATTGTGGTAATTTGGATTTTTTTTAAATGTTCAATTTGATATCTGAATTAAAAAAATGAGATTTGAAATGAAAAATAGATTTTATTGCATTAATTTTTGGAGAAAAAAACGAATTTTAGTTATTTTTCTATAAYTATTTTGCAAGTTGGTTCCCCAAAATAGGAATCAGGTGCAAGTTGGTTCCCCAAAATAAGAATTAGGTGAAAGTTGGTTCCCCAAAATGACGATTTTAAAAGTTAGTTCTTTAAAATAAGAATTAGATGAAAGTTTGTTCCATTTTAATGCAATTTCCCCCGATAGATATATTGAATGTATGACATCTCACTAACCCTTATCGGGCTTTCCTTTTCCCAACACCACTCACCAACGATGGGGTTCGATTAAGCACCAAAAGCCCTCCACCACCCACTCCTTTTACCCACCAACCATTTCCCATTTTTATATTCTCAAACATTTTTATATTCCATTAAATTCAATATTTACACTTCACAAACAAATTCACCCACATATGTACAAGACTACAACTTAGTTGAAAAGCACTATAATCCCACCACCCAGATTTGCTTTTCTTCAAGCAGAGTGTAGCTCTCTGAGTTCACCTGTAAGTGTTCAATTCAATCCATTTATCTCTTATTTTCTACTTCATTAATCTTCATTTCATTTAAATTTCTTTGTGGGTGCTTCAAAGATCGTTCTCTAGATTGTAATTTTGTGAATAGATTGAATCTTCATTGATTTTGGGTTGAAACCTTTTGTGAATTTGTTGATGAGATCGTAAGTAGTTGAAAAGATTTGGATCTTTGATGATTGGTGAATTTGATGGATGGGTTTTCTTGTTATATTTCTTTGAGGCATTTTGTCATACAGTTGAGTTGCAATTTTCGTTTAGATTAAAAATGTGATATGTGATGGACCTTGAATTGGTATATAAGAAGTTACAGATTGAGTTTTGTAAGTTATTGATCTTGAAAAGTTACAGTGAAGTTCATGTGTTCGAATCTCGTCTATTTCGTTGATTTTAATTTTAATTACAAGAAAGGGAAACAGGATAAGACTGGTGTAGTTCTTGATTTCATTCTTGGCCATGGTCAGACTTTGAAAATTCTTGGATGAAATAAGTATGATCCAAGATTTCCAATGTGGGTATCTTGAATGGATCTTTCTTGATCAATGAAAAACCTTGTTTTTGATTCTGAATCTGCTTCTTGCAATTTGGAAAACTAATGATTTGATTATCTTGTACCCATAAAAGGGTATTTGATACAAGACTGTTTTTACTTATATTGGTATTGCTACTGAGGGTCTGTTCAGGGGAAAAACCAAAAAAATGAAAAACTGAGAAACACCAAGCTAACCCTTCATCTGGACAGCATGCACATGTGTATACAAGTAATTTGTAAGCAATTTGTCCGGTAATGCACATCTGCATAAAAAAAATTACTTGCATACCATCCGGATGAATGGTTACCAGGGTGTTTTTCAGTTTTTCAATTTTTTTGGATTCCCCTGGACCTCCGTTTTGATAATGATACTGATTTGTTTGTTTGTTTTTGAAGCATAATAGCAGAATGAGGGGAGGACTATGGCAACTAGGGCAATCAATCACCCGCCGGCTTGGTCAATCTGATAAAAAGACTATTGCTCGTAGATGCTACGCCACGGAGGCAGACCTCAAGAAAACTGTTCTCTACGATTTCCACGTTGCAAATGGTGGAAAGATGGTTCCTTTTGCTGGTTGGAGCATGCCGATCCAGTACAAAGATTCGATCATGGAATCCACGCTGAATTGCAGGGAAAACGGTAGTCTTTTTGATGTTTCCCATATGTGTGGGCTAAGTCTCAAAGGGAAAGATAGCGTTGCGTTTCTTGAAAAACTCGTGGTTGCTGATGTGGTGGGACTTGCCCCCGGTACCGGCTCGCTGACGGTTTTCACAAACGAAAAGGGTGGAGCCATTGATGATTCCGTGATCACTAAGGTGACTGCTGACCACATTTACTTGGTTGTTAATGCGGGGTGCCGAGATAAGGATTTGGCTCACATTGAAGAACATATGAAGGCTTTTAAGGCCAAAGGTGGGGATGTAGGGTGGCACATCTATGATGAGAGATCTCTTTTGGCTCTTCAGGTTTGTAGAAAATCTTGTTTAAAATTTCAAATCGTAATTTATATGAGAATATGTGGGACCCCATCAGATTACTTTCCCAAAGAACCCTTAGAGGGTTTAGTCCGTAGAGCGGTAGAACTTGGTTCTGATACCATGTAAGAATGTGGAAACCCATGTGATTGATTGCTCTAAAAAATGCCCTAGAGGAAAAAAAGAAGTTCCATTATATATTAAGGAGAAATGGTCCAAGTCTAGTTGATGTGGGGCTTTAACACCCCCCCCCCCCCCCAGGCCAATTGTGTATAGATTAGATGAGTACAGATTGCCCCATAGTGTTGAGTCCCTAGAGTGGTAGAACTTGGCTCTGATACCATGTGAGAATATGTAGAACCCCATTTGGTTACCCTTCAAGAGGAGAGACGTTTCATCATATATTAAGGAGAAATGGTACAAGTCTAGCCGACGTGAGACTCTAACACGCCCCACCCTGCAACAAAGGCCAGATGGGCATAAACTTTCCTAGAGTAGTGGGGGGCATGAATACTGATTGCCCTAGAGTGTTGAAGAGTGATAGAACTTGGCTCTAATACCATGTGAAAATATTTGGAACCCCATTTGATTGCTCTTCGAAAGAGCCCTTGTGGAGAGAAGGGAGGTTCCAAACATACATATATGGAGGAGAAATTGTCCAAGTCTAGCCGACGTGGCACTCTAATACGCCCCCTCCAACAGAGGCAAGACGACCAAGATCGTCCAGAGTGTCAAAAGGGGGCTAGACGAGTACAGATTGTGCCGGAGTGGTAGAACTTGGCACTGATATCATGTTAGAGAATACATGAAACCCATCTGATTACTCTCCAAAAGATCCTTCGAGAAGAAAAAGGAGGTTCCAACATATATTGAAAAGAATTTGGTCCAAGTGTAGTTGACTAGCAACTCTAGTAATCTAAACATTGAAACAATACATCATAACTTTGAGAAATAGATTATCGAAATTTCAATCTTTTTGATTGGTTAGTTGATTCAAAAGATATATCGGTAAAGATTCTATCGTCGGGATCCTGTATTCCATTTTGTTGTCATGCAGGGTCCTCTTGCAGGTTCGACTCTTCAGTACCTTACGAAAGAGGATTTAAGCAAAATGTACTTTGGGGAGTTCCGTATAATAGATATCAACGGTGCCAAATGCTTTCTAACTAGAACCGGGTAAGTTGCCTTTTTGATCATTTGAAACTCATTTTCGTTCTCATGACGTATCCCGAGTGTCTCTGTCTATATCCACGTTCATAGATAGGATTCTGATTATGACCATGTTTGGCAACCATAAGCTAGCTTATTTTTTTTAGCTTATTGAAAAAGCCCTGTTTAGTTCTGTCATAAACTAGCTTATTGAAACACTAATTCACGGGCTTTTTCTTCCAATTGTGCCCCTTTAACTTTTTAACATGTCTTTTTTAGTCATTTTACATTGGGCATATCAACTAGATTTTACCAAACTGTGACTAGTTTTGGTCCAGTCTTGAAAAAGCCTGATTAAGCCCAAATAAATCCCGCCTGAAAAAGCTCGATCAAGCCCTTTTATAACCCCAAAGCCCGGCCCTGTAAAAGCATGGGCCTTTTTACTGCTCACTGAGAACGGGCTTGGAAGGCTTGGGCCCCGGCCTGAAAAAGCCTGATTAAGCCCAAAAAACCCTGCTTGAAAAAGCCCGATCAAATAATTTCTCAACCCCAAAGCCCGGCCCTATAAAAGTGTGGGCCTTTTCTTGGCTCACTGAAAACGGGCTTGGAAGGCCAAAGTCCAGGACCAAAAATGCCCGCACCTTGTGCATTTGTACATCATATCACATCAGAGGCTCTAACCCTACTTCCAGACGGATATGCTGGGTTCGTTTTGATTTTTCGTGGCTAGAAAATCATGTTCTTTAACGAAAAAAGTGGAGGAAACGAGTATTGAGGTAATTTGACGTGTTTGTTGAACGAGGTTACAGGTATACCGGTGAAGATGGATTTGAGATCTCGGTTCCCTCAGAGAACGCAGTTGATCTTGCAAAAGCGATTCTCGAAAAATCCGAAGGGAAGGTACGGTTAACGGGCCTCGGTGCTCGTGATAGTCTTCGTCTCGAAGCCGGACTGTGTCTATACGGCAATGACATGGAGCAACACATAACCCCGGTGGAGGCCGGGCTCACTTGGGCTATTGGCAAGAGAAGAAGGGCCGAAGGCGGGTTTCTTGGAGCCGAGGTGATCCTGAAGCAAATCGCCGATGGCCCATCAATTAGGCGGATCGGGCTTTTCTCTGCGGGCCCACCAGCCCGAAGTCACAGTGAGATTCAGAACGAGAACGGGGAGAACATCGGTGAGGTGACTAGTGGAGGGTTCAGCCCGTGCTTGAAGAAGAACATAGCCATGGGGTACGTGAAGTCGGGATTGCACAAACCCGGGACCAAAGTTAAGATTGCGATCCGAGGGAAAACGTACGAAGGGTCAATTACGAAAATGCCCTTTGTAGCAACAAAATATTACAAGCCAACATAAAAAGGCTTGTTTCTTGTGGCTACTTTCTTTACATTTTTAACTTGTGTTCTTGTGGAACTTGAATGCTGCAAGCCTGCAATTACTTGAAATCTTTGATTTTGTGGTCCACACTTTTCTGGACTTTGAATGGAAGAGTATTCCTTTAATTTTCAACCGCAAAAAACCAAAAACCGAGTAACATTCTGGTAATCGTTTATCCAGACAATATGCATATATGTCTACAAGTAATTTGAAAGCAATTTATCTGGTATGCGAATGTGTATAAAAACCAAGAAATAACTTCAATTACTTGTATACACATGTGCATATAACATAGGTTGAATTTGTACTAATTTCTAACTGCAAGTATTGAACATAGATGTAAAATGCACATTACAGTAAAATCGGTTTTGTAGAAGGTTAAATATGTCCAAATGTTACAATAAACTTCTTTATAGGACTTCAGTTTATAGGATCAAACAATTGTGTGTCATGTGTAAAGATGTTATATTAAGTTGGTATTACGTTGTAACAAATTTTTAAAGATAATTTTAAAATAAGATGTGATATTACTATTTTTATGTGACACTTCTCGAAAATGATATTGGTGAAAAGCTAATATGATAATTTATCACAAAGGCAACTCTAAAAAGTTTGTTAGACACCTCTTTTACATAGGATGCATAATTGTTTGGCCATGTATACAAAGTCACATAAAGTAGTCTATTATCACATTTAGATCTATTTGACATCCTATAAAGTTGATTTTATTGTAGTGACCTTTTTTCATATGATATAACTATTATATATATATATATATTCAAACGAGAACACTCATATTTTACGAAAATGCGAGAACACTTTTGGGCCTCCAAATTAATTAATACATAATAAAAATTAGAGTAAATGAAAAGAAATTAGTGTTTATCCATAATTTTCTGTTATCCTTATCCCTTAAATTTGGTTATTATCATCAGAGACTTTTTATGTTGATGCGTTTGCTGTTGATAATATTATGATAATCCTGTGATAATTATCTAATTTTGCCGTGATAACAATGTCACTGTGGACAGTCCCAAGTTCTCAATGAAAATACGGTTCCTAACGAAACATGTGCCTACACACACACACACACACACACACACACACATATATATATATATATATATATATA